CTGGCCAAAGAGCTTGACATCACAGTTGAGCAGAAATTCTCACCAAGGGCCATACCCAAATGGAGGTGGATTCAGTCCATGGCACTATTAAGCGGTCGCTCCAAAACGCACTGATGTACGTGAACATCATGCTCCAAGCCAGACGCATCCCCAGGTCCTATGAAGTTATGTACCTGGACCACAGCTTTCTCAAAAATTTCGAAAAGGTCGGAGAGTACTAAACGATCCGCCAAGGGAGAAAAGCAGGAGACCCTACCGACACTGACTTGCAGACATCAAAGTACACTCCAGTCTTTAAAATTCAGTACAAGCTGAACTTTGACGATGAATGGCAGGCGCTGTCAGGACCAAGGAAGCAGAACACCCAATGTACGACAGTTACTGCTGGACCTCTCTGCAAAGACAAATTGAAATTAACTGCCAACCAGTATAAAAATCTACAGGAATTGAAGGCTGTCGTACCACAATGCTATCACAATTACTAAGAAACTGTCTCAGTAAGAAGCTTTGAAAGCGATCAAGTCAAATTCGATTATTGTAGAGTCTTTCAAAACAATTGTGAATTGTTATGGTATTGCCTTGTTATAACCCCAGGACACAGAGTAAGACAGACATGCTCTTCTATTGTTGAGAAAAATCAATGAAGTAGTTGAGGTCAAGCCACGCACCTTGAAGAAAGTTGGCGCATTCTTTGATGCTTACAAAGTCTGTTTGTATAATAATGATATTTTATTATGTAACGAACTTCACTCAAACCATTGCTGAGGTAGCTGAGCTTTTGTGTGGCTTTCTGCTTTCATTTCTTTCTTAGTATTACTTTTTCCAGGACTTTGAATGGCCACCCAGTGCCAACAATACCGTGTCAGACACTGTCATAAATTCTAAAGGCCTACTGCTGCTGCTACTGCTACTACTATTGTTGTTGTTGTAGTTGTTTTTGTTGCTGTAGCTGCTCTCCCTTACCCTTCGAACCTCCTGTTCTTTTACTTCAAATGTAATTGATAGACCCATTGCTGTGTTCTGCTTCTTCTACTTCTAGTAAATTTTCAACTTTGTGAATGCTGTTTTTGCCCGAATATACTCCTTAGCGCTGAAATGGCAGCAGCTGATAGTATGTTGGTAGCAATAAAATCGTCCTCCTCCTCTTCTTCTTACTCCTCCTCCTCCTTTTCCTATTTCTCCTTATCCTCCTCCTCCACATCCACCTCTTTTTCTTCTACCCTTCCTCCTCCTCCTCCTCCTTCTTCTTCTGATGATGATGATGATGCATGTAACACAAAAATCACTTCGATTGAAACAACAGATCAAATACGTTACCGGCAAGTGCGGCTTGGCTGCACTCAAAGCCAGCAGTGGCTTCCTGATAAAAACCGGCCAACCCACAAAATTGAGGGCTGGTCGGTTTTATCTGTAAAAATTTGAGGGACATAACCGTCTAACCCACTCAGTTTCATTAAAAGCGATTTTTAAAAGGAAAAAAGATCTACCGCGTTTTGGTAAAGTGTTTTTATGTCTGTGTATAAAGCACTGGTTTATCCTTAGACACCTTTGTTTTGAAATAAAAGTTTTTTCCTTCTCCTGTAAAATTTACCTCGCTGGGGTTAGTCTTTGTTTTATCACAAGGCCGACGATGTTCTGTTTTCAATTTTTCTGTACATAAAACATGAAAATCATGAAAATTCGCGTTAAAAAAGTGCAAAATATGTCGCGAATGGTGTTATGGTAACTTGCATAATTTGGCCTTTTTTTTGTGCATAATTTGGCCATCTAAATTTGCATAATTCTACGGGGACAGAATATGGATTTAGAATTTGTTTTCATTCACAACTCAGTGATGCTGCCTCAATTAGTTTTGTTAAATATGTTCCTATTGCAGGGAAACTTTCTTTGTTAAGCCTGATCAGGCCTTATCTCTAACTGGTTCTTTGTCTCACTTTGATTAACTAGTCGAACAAATCAGCTTTCGCACCTACCTCAAATACATCTTTTCTGTTGCATCATTCTCTTCAGTCTCGAGACAAAATGTTTAGTTTTATCTAGACACATTTTGAAAACAATGTTTATTGTATTTACTTTTTACCTTTCCCAGCCTCTTTGTTTTTGGAAAGATTCAACTATTCGTTTGCCAATTCTGCCATTATCCACTTACGATAATTTTTTTTAAAATCTTTTTTTTTCAGGAAACAAAGCACAAACGTTAATGCACTGCCTTCAGCAGATGTTACCTTTAGTCTATAGAAAAAAAGCTTGCAAAGCTAATTAACTCCATTAAGGTCTCTTGGAAGCAGCCAGTCAGAAGATTTACATAGAAATCTTCTATTGTTTTCCTTTTTTCCCTTTTTTTATAAGGTGCCAAATGAGGTCAATTTAAAGACAAGAAGCACTAAACAAAGTGGAAGGAAAAGAGAAATTCAGATCCCACTCTGGCTAAAAAAAATGTTAATAAGTTATTGACTAAAATAACAACCAACAGCCAGTTTGTATCATTTTTACAATTTACAAGACAAAAGACAATGAATGACATAACAAGCCCCACGTATAACAAAGCATGAAAATGTCAAGTTTATTCAATGTTTAGCATCAGCAGACACAGATGAAAAGAACAGGTTCATCTCAAGGGAACAATGACTGCTGAGGGTGGCTCATGTGGCACAAACAAATTCCAAATCTACAGAAGGGGGTACCAGTAGTCACCACACCCTATGTCAATAGTCTTTGTAGCAAGGTACTTGCCCAAACTTATTCGCAAACATAGTGCAAGTTTCTGAAGCTTGACGCCTGTCACATTTCAAAATGTATTTTATTTAAGTAGATGACAAAATGTGAATTTTCATTTTCGTATAAAAATTTACAGCCTTTTCTTTCTAAGGTTACATTTTGTTTATGTTTTTAGCAAAGAGGAACCCTTGGAGTACTTTTAAAACTGTGAATGATAGACCTCAGAAGAAAACACAACCGTTGTACTCTTCCAATCTGAGAGCCCACTGTGAAGCTACAATAGACTGAGTTACAAGAATCCATTACTTTCAGGGCCGGTTGTTCACACCATAAACTACCTACATATTAACACAGTATTGTCAAAATTAAAGAAATACAGGAAGCAGGGCAGACTGTCCTTCAGGGAACAAATATGTTTAATCAGAACAAATAAATTGGAATACATTTGCAATTTGTGCTTGATTTTAAAATATCAGATTCTCTTAAAGAAATTCTGCCAGTATTATTAAGATATTGAAATGCATTGTTCAGGGCCTTTAAATTTCTAAAAGTTCTGGATTGATACAGATTATCTTTAAGATAGAAATACCAAAATCTTTTGATGAAAAAAAAAAATTATTGGAAGAAACTTTTTTTAAAAACTTTATCAATATACTGCAGAACATGCTTACCTGTTAAAGCAAAACTAAGATTTTGTGATTTCTTTAACTGAGATCACAGCCCCTATTTTTCCCTTTTCATTGCTTCATCCACATCTCTAATAAAAATACAGACAATTCCAACAAATTTTCTGATGACAGTGCAACCAAAGCAAACATAATGCCAGAAAATGAGCCCATGCTAACCGAGTTCTTCTGTTGAACCCATCTGTAAGGCCTCAACAGAAACATGGAACTGACTCCTGGTCCTAAGACTAGTACTAGTGATGAAACCAGCCGGCTCAGACAGATGAAATTTTACCAGAGTAAAAGACAGACTACTGCATGCAAGACCGGGGAGGACAGGTGTGGCACACCCGCGTTCTAACCGTGGCACACCCGCGTTCTAACCATGCCATAGATTGTATAGTAAGCATTGTGATACAAGGGGAATGGACAGCTGTGAAAAATCAAAGGGAAGGTAGACTAGCCACAATGTCAATGAGAAGACTATGTCCTCCACACTCGCATAAGGCAACAGTCACAACTACACGTCAAGCCTGAGACGAGAACAAGTCAAAGAAAAAGTACTCGAGTCAAAGAATGGCAGCGAAAAGAAGAATACCTGCCTTGCTACTGATGTCTAGGAACACATAACTCAGTGTAACCAATCATCATCATCCAGTGCCAGATCTGCTAGACATCGGCGATTATGGTTCTCCATTCATTCCTTTGCTCAGATGCTCTTAAAAAAGCTACGTTTCCCTGTCACTCACTAATTCAGATTCCCCAAGTAGGTTGCTCTGGGCCTACCCCTGCCTCACCTGCCCTCAATCTTGCCAGTGAGAGCTAGATGTTCAAGACCCTTATGTGTAACCAATACTTTCTGGAATAAAAAGCACACCTTCTCACCGGCGGCAACAAAGATAACAATAGTGTAATATTTCTTGAATTATAATTGTAAATTTCAACCTGACAACCTACACCCAACATATCTGAGTTATCCATGCTCCACTAACAAGCCAATGTTACTAAAAAAAGTAAACTGAAACATATTCATTGAAAGGGTTAGCTAAAGATTGAAACAGAAGTTGAGAGAACTAAAGACTGAAACATTTCTATGACACATTTGAACAGGCCCTGACAATTCAAAAAGCCCCACCATCAACATATCTTTCTGAGAGCTTCAGTTGTGCCACTTTCAACAGTAATAACACACATACAGGACAACTTTATATCTTCAAATGTTCAATAATATATAATGTATATATGCATAATTCAGAGCTTTAAAAAAATCCCACTTCTGTGGAAACATTCAAGATTGCTTGAAGATTCCCTCACTTTAAACTAAAAAATGAGCTAATGAAACAGTTATGCATCTAACAAAACATGCCATCACTTCACAACTAGACACCACAACTGGTACAATGATATATGTCGACTTTGTGCATTAAAGAAAATCACAAGAAGACTGTTTCTCTAAATTAGATCCAGAATCCACACTGGGAAGACAATTTATTCAACAAAAATTTCCTGAACCTGGACCAACAGTAAAATTTAACTTTTTGTGACAATAGGTCTTCTTCCCCTTATTTATTTGGGGGGAGAGAAATCATGTGTGTTAGGGTTTGATTATTTTTTTTACTAGAATTTTTCACACTTTTTCTATGATTTAACAGTTATTTTAAATCCTTGTGTTTATTTAGGCCAAGCCTGCTTACAACAATCATGAACTCTGCAATCGATGGGGCTCTTGACACTTTGACCCTGAGCAAGGTCCAGTTGAGTCCAAGATACTTTCCATAGAAAAGATTCAAAGTCCTCGTAAGTAATCCTTGAGGCATCCACCACAAGACAGAAACATTTTTACCCCAAAAAATCGAACACTACTGGGCATTTAAGAAGTTTATTTTATGAAGACAACCAAATGTGAAGTCTGGCAACTGATACATTTGAGGACAAGAACAGGGAGCTAATCAAACTGTTGCATACAAGTACAAATGACTTTTTTAACCTTCTCTTTATATATTATAAATATCTATACATAATAAATATGTGGATATCAGGCGAGGTTTTGCAGGTTGAATTTAAGACATTGGTATTTTCCTCTTCCTTTTAAAGAAATCAGATCTTGATGAAAGTCTCGACAAAAAAATCAGGAAAAATTTGTGATGAGTGAATATCTGGGGACAAATTTTCCAGAGCAAATCTCTAAAAAGCCAGTGTGATCAATTTTACCAGGCAGTGACCCACTCACCTTTGACAGAGAATTGCTTCGTGATGAGACAGAGATTCAAACATAAAAGCACTTTTTCACACAAACGAAAAAAAAAATCTTGTCCATGATCCTACTTAACATGTCAAAGTTCCAAAATTCGATTTTCCATGAATGAAGTAGCATACTGTTAAACCAGATTTGTCAAGTCATGAGACTTACAAGCAGAGCAATAAGCAATGAACTGATACAACATAAAAGTATGTATGTGCATAGGGTGAACATATGACATTATTTACTTCCATATTGGTTCTCATCATCTCATATAATTCTTTTTGAGGGGATAAATGATACAAGTCATGATTGTGTACAGGCCTGGAGCAGCATGGGCATATTCGAGTCCACAATACAAAATACAACAGCACTACCCAAACGCACATGACCCCACATACACACATTCACATATTCTTACTCATACGACAGGATAGGCTTTAAGTCTTTCTCAGAATGACATTTGGTGTTCACACACGCATTCATAAATGTGAGGATGGAATCAGCCAACTAATGATGGGTCTCTGAGCAGGAGTGGCAACAAGAACAAGTAACAGTGACATCATTGAGGTTGACCAAAAGAAAAACACTGGACTTTGACAGATGACTCTTCATCACAAAACAACCAGCCAAGGGAACTCGGCATCCATTTGCCGTTTTTTGTGCCTGGAAACGAAACCGAAGATCAGCATTTTGTTGTTGTTGGTTTGTTGTTTTTTAAAATCTCCCATTACAGATAATTCCCAAAAGACTTCTTCCCTCTGATTGCCACAATTTCTTTCTGAGAACAATAAAAATCACAGACAAAGACCCTGGTCAGAGAGAAGAAAACAAAATAGATGCAACACATGAACAGTATGTTATGCATGAACTTTCTATTGTGGCATTAAGTTAATGAAGATGGTGCACAGGACAGCAAGACCACCCCGGAAAGAAAAATTGACCAATTTGCAGTATGTAAATATGTAATTTAAGAAATGATAGAAATACAAAGACAAAAATATGGACAAAAGAAGGCTTATTGTAGTCACAAATATATACGACAGAACAAAAGACGACTTTCAAAAGGATGCAAGATAAGGGGGAAAAAAAGATACAGACAGATAAAGAAAAAATGGGACGGGATCATTGGGAAAACGACGAAAACAAACAAGTCTGGTGAACATGCTGAAGGTCATTGAGAAGGAGGCTCAGGACAATTACAATTAACATGGCAAAAATTCTGAAGATGAGCATTGACTGCTACACATTCTTACAATGCATGTCCACAACCTGTGCGAAAACTTCATAATGTGTCACGACACTGAAAACAAGGCGCTCTCAATTTTTGCGCATATTGAGTTTTTGTTATAATCTAGAACTAAAAGCTTATTCATTTGTCTCGCTTTTGATTTTAAAAAAAAATAGCGAGAAAATGGCCACCAATGTTTGGTGACTCCAATGGCTTGAGAGGCCATGCAAACTGCAAATTTACATTTTTTTGAGCCTTTGGTCGACAGTGTTCAGTAAAGTCCACACAGAAATTTGTTTTAAATGGACATAAAAGGTGCCGTACAGAAGAAAAAAAATCGATAAAAATTTCCAAATGTTAATTTCTTCGATTTTAGTATTTTGATGAGCGCCTGATTTCGCCATGATGCCACACATTTTCAGTTCTAGCTCAAGGTTTCTTGGCCAAAGTTCACACCAAAGGCACATGCAGTTTTCTGATGCTTTCACCTTTTGTAATTGGTACCGGTACTGTCCATATTCTTAGCCCTGATTATGCTGTGTCCTGAAATTTTGCACTACTCATCAATGAAGCACTGAGCACCCTGAATACTGTAGGCGTATGTGAGAGTAAATCTTCAGCAGTTCAGAATTGTCTAAGAATCATTCTTGAACAAAATTTCAATTGCAGGTTTCTGATGTGCTTGACTCAGATATTTGAGGCTTGAGGATGTGAAAAAAGAAGAAAACTATAGATTAAAAATTATCAAAATTTAAGGACTGAACAACACTGAACAACTAAACTTGGTTTGGCAACCTGAATTCCATGTATTATTAGAATGCCCCCATTTTTATTTAAACAAGAAAACTAGTTTTAGCCACATGCACCCAGTTAACAAATGCTGAAATGAAATTTAAAAAAAAAAAAAAAAAAAACATTGGTTGGAAAAACAATACAAACAGCAGTGCAATGGGCAAAGTAATCAAAGGAAGAAAGAGGAAAGACCACTACAAAACTTAAAATTACCATGACCCTCGAATAGTGCAATTAAGTCTGATAACTCAAAGCAAATGGATCAGTAACTAAGACAACTAGAAATCTACACAAAATTACTTTGGATGGGAAGCAAAGCTCATCTTTCCAAGAAGCCAGGATGAGAGAAAAAACAATTTGTTTCCTGGGGACTTCCACTCTTCAATAGCACACAGTTCAGGGCAGTTCAAGACCATGATTTGTCAAAGTTTTTTTTTACACATCTTAAATTTTAAGCCAGAAGAATTGGTAATGAATTTGACAATATAATGTTCTGTGTCAACCGAGCACCATCTCAACATCAGAGCTCACTGTAACTTTTCATTCAGCAGTAATTCCAATCCATACAGTTTTCTCTCTGACAAACTCTGACCATATGTCACCAAAAGAGTAAATATAACTACAAGCAGGGGTACAGCCAGGTATGAGAGTGATATTATTAAAGGATCCCCCCCACCATCCCAAAATCCCCTTTAAATTCCGGTCTATTCTCAACTTCGTCCTGAAGCTATCAATGTGTCTCAGATACTTACAGGAGCCTCATCATCCCAGAGTTAACTATTCCAGTCTATTCTCGGCTCTCTGCTGAAGCTGTCAGTGTCTCAGAAACATGTCATCCATGCCATAATGACACACTATCACTACTGCATTCCCAGTGTCAAACAGTGCACAGTTCAAAGCAACAATAAACATGGGCAGGAGCCGAGATCATTCTCAAGTAGAGAGTGCACCACATCTTTTTCTAGCATTTCATAAAATTATCCATTCTCTTGATTAGAACAAATTAATACAGCAAAATATAACTTTCAAAACTTATTAAATTAGTAACAACAAAATAAATAAACCTAAAGAAGGAAAAATAAAGATTCAACAAAACAGCCGAAAAACAAGACCAACCTAAATTTTCAAAGGGACAAAACCCTGAAGTTGCAAAGACAGTCCTCTCTAATACTGCCAATAAACAACATCGACAAATGAACTGAAATGCCTTTCTCGTGCTTTATTTTTTGTTACTTTCAAGAAGGACTCATGAAAGGACAAAATAAATGAGACCCAAAATATAAGCTGCAGCACAGAGCACAGAGACATAACCCTCCAAGTGTTGACAGCCAATTAAACCGTCCAAAATTTTGTTGTGATGTCGCCGCGCTTTGAGTTGTTATTTCAGTTTGTTAATCCATTTTTTTAAATCGCCAAGCGTAAATTCAATTCCTTCACAAATGAGCTCCACTTTCTTTTTCTATTCCACATTATGGAAGTGTATACACCTTTTCTTGCTGGGTGTGCCTGTTCTCAAGAATTTTCCACGGTAATATGGTGAAATCATACACATTTCCATGACACCAAAGGCTTTATTTTACCGACACTTAGAGGGTTTAAAGCATTCACTAATGTAATAACCATCATAAATTCAGCACAACTCTTTTTCCTTTAAAATAAAGACTACAAAAGCAGTCAATTTAATTTCTTTCACAATGACACACACTAACAGCCAGATGAATATTGTTATAAAATACCATGGCAGTAAAAATATTTCTTATCATGCAAAGTCATGTACAAAATACCAAGCTCTATAAAACTCTGATCTGATGATACCGCTACGACACTTTAATCTATGTGTGCACAACAATGTCTTACAAGACAGGTATAAGACGATGTCGTCATATAAAAAAAAAGTATGTCTCACTGCCACAAAGCAGGCTTGAACATCATCTGCTATTACAAAGAAGCTTACCTTGCTCATATTACTCTGACCTGTGACTCATGTACTTGGTTATTTATCATTCACTTTGTGCAGTACACTGAGCTGCTCCCAACATTCAAGATTCCATACAAACAAACGCTATTTACAGACTATACTTGAAACACAAGATGGCGGACTCATGTAGCAGGTCACTGTTGCACACAAGTGCCAGATTTAGTACACTAATATTCATTTCTCAGCCTGCACTGTAAGAAAATACAAACCAACACGAATGTCTGTATTTACACCCATTTTACTGGTGACTTGAAGAGGAGGAGGAGGAGGAGGAGCTGGAGGACTTGAAATCCTCACTCAAGAAATGCATCCAGTCCGTGTGTCCTACTTTACAGCTGTCACATACTGCAGACTGTGAATCCACTAACTCTAACACCGCCAATGATATTGGACTGGTCACGTCGTCTTCGCAGATAAAATGCAGTAAATGCATCCAAATACGAATTTTTTTGAAAGGGTGGACGCTCTTCATGTCCAAAATCGAGGCAAAGGGCTAGAGGGGCACAGGGGCTGAAGCAAACTTACTGGCATCAACTCATCATACTTGAACTTCATTGGTTAATGTACGATGTCAGACGGGTTAACAAAATTATGTACGTCAAACAAGATCACTGTACACGTATGGGACATAGGAGCAGCCTCTGTGAAGGTTTCTTGGTTCAAGAGAAGAAAGGCTCCATCCATGATGACGAAGAGAAATAGAAGAAACACTGACCGAAACAGACACACTGACAAGTTGCTAGCCACAGAGGAGCCCCTGGGTCATACACCCTGCAACCACGGATGTCTCAAACTCTCCGCTGCGGTAGCTCGCTCATTGGGGTCAAAGGACAGCATAGGTAGCAAGAAGTCTGCGAATTCTCGAGCATCCTTGTCACTCCACTCATACTTTTCCATCAGAACTTCTACCAGACCCCAAGGCTTCAGCTTGCTAATATGTCGCAGTTCTCCTGTAGATGACAAAAAAAGAAATTCTCCTTAAGTACTGCCTCCACTGACAAGAATAAACATTCAGCATCTAATTAATCAATTAAAATACACTTTCCTTTATCCAAGTGGGGAATTCTTTTTAACAATGGCACAATATATATTAAACATAAACAAATACTGTATATAAATTCATAGATAAATACATATTATATTCAAACATACAGATAGTATATTATACTACAAACATGCCATTCCTTGTCACCACTGTGGAGCACCATGGTTTTTTTTTTAGCTACAGTTATCGTGTCTTTCTCAAGGATACAACCCAGTCACCACCCACCTAAAGGTCATGCAACCGAAATATTTTCCTTTACGCCCTCCCTTAAAAATTCATAAGATAATGCACAATCACATTTTTCCAACTTGTGACATTCCAAAGAATCCCTGACCAAAGCCCCTATCCCCACTCCCACAAGCACACACACACAACCCCAAAGAGAGGTTTGGGTGCTTTCACAAAATTGAAGTAAATTATCATGAAATGTAAGTAGCCTACTTATTCATTTTCAGCCCCCAAAAAGAGGTAAAATCAATCAAAATCAAATGACTTGTGAATGTAGGCAAGTCATAAACATAACTATCACTGAAAGTAACTCAGAGCAAGATTTCCAGACACTTAGCTCTCTTGTTTTTTGTTTGTTTTTTGTAAGTGTTTTACGGCGCTCGCAACTGCATAAGGTCATATAGTGCGCGGGACACACTTAATATTTTCAGTTGGTAGGAAATTTTGAATTTTGCCCGGGTGGCCGCCAAAGCCTACTCTTGTCGATTTTAGACCACCAAGGGATCTTTAACGTGCGCAACTTGCACACGGGTTCTCCGAGATTTTTCGCCCTTGTCCGAGAAGGCTAGGTGTAGATCTTTCCTACCAGAAGATCAGGGGTGTGGCTGAAAGACTGCATAAGAAGAAGCGAAGGAGTAGCATAGAAAGGCTGCAGAAAGAATCAGGAGCCCAGAGGAAGGGGCAAAGGAGGTGAGGGGGTGGGGGCAGAAAGAGGGGACGAAAGCAGGCGACAGAACATTGCTAGAGAGCAGGAAATGAGGTGAAAGGAGACAAATTTAGAGAAGAAAATTTATTGGTCGCTACCCGGATTCGAACCCGGGATTTTGAGTGAGAGGTCAACACCTTAACCTCTAGACCACGAGAGCCCCCCACTTAGCTCTCTGAAAATCTGCATTATTTCTTTTAATTTGGCACAGTAAAATAGTCATATTCCATCACAAATCACTTGAGTAATTAAGGTCACAGTCTATCTGAACACAATATCTAATACAAACTGATACCAGAGAAGGAGAACGTAGTTAAGAATTACAAAACAGTTTGAGTGAACATATCTGGCAAAATTAATTACTTCTCTGACCTTAGCCCAAAGGAAGTCATGTTTAGAGGTCTGTTCGATTTTTAAGTTTGAAATAAAAGATTACGTTAAACTTTAAGAAAATGGCATCAATAGAAAATTTACAAATGTTGACCCCAAAGTCGCTTTTCTGCCAACATCTCCATTAGCAGATAGCAAGTAGTAATTTTGTCAACATGCCTCATATAAGGTTTTCTAATCCACTTGACAAACAACTCTTTTATTTCCTCAGTAAACTTCAGTTTTAAAAAAGCCACTCTGAGAAGAGCATTGAAACTCAGACACATTTCAAATAAAGGGAGCTCTGTTGTCAAATCAGGGTAGCCTTAACTTTCTCTCAGTTGGGAGACCTACCCACTAATGTTTGTCTTTTTTCTAACGAGGTCTGAGATGCATGAGCAGGAAATGTAGCCATAACTTGAATCAGAGCCAGTAATAAAAACAGCAAATGAATCAAAGAAAAGAAAACACATATATACATTTCCCTTGTTTAAAAACTTACATATTACATGCAATCTCAAGTGAACCCCTGCCCCTCCTTCAATCTTTCCACAATATTTCACATTAGGCTGGCCCAGCCGAAAATTGCATTTTTGAAATAGAAAAATTGCAAAAAATTGAAAGGTAAACTGCCTACAAATTGCAACATTCCCATCCCAGGCGCATTAATACGGGCTTAACATTTTAGTTTAAAAAACATGACAATTTTGAGTACCGGTAGCATAAAAGCAGCACAGCCTTTTAAGAAATCATGACCCACAATACAAATTTTATAACAAGATTTACTAGTAACAACACACGAGTACGTTAACAATATTGTTATTGACCAAATATAATACGATAACGTGAGACACAAAATAACGGAACCCTCTGTTTTCGTAATAACTTTTAAATGAAGGCTTAAAATTTGACCAAATTTAGTACCGGGTACTTGGTTCGTGCAAAAATCTAGAAGTGTATGAGGTTTAATCTATAAAAAACAAAAAAATTGACGAGGGATTTTCTAAACAACCTCTGAATACAAAATAAGCTTATGCTCCAATCAAATCAGACCCAGTTCTATTTTTCTCTTGAAACCTTCGATACACCGGTAATCTGTATTTAGATCTATTTCAGATATTTTCTATTTTAACACCGGCATGGCATTGTTTTAACACTAAGTCAAATTGTAAAATACAGCAATTTTTTTCCATTTATAAACAATAGAAATACATATGTACTAATGTAGATCTAGATCATTTCTAGAGCACCCACTCCCGTGTGAACGCAGCTTAATTAAGGTGTTTTACATAACGGGGTGTTTACGTACACAGTACGCGGACACCTAGCCTCAGTGTCTACGTACACGGTAACCGGCAACCGGGCACGTAGTCTCAGCAGACCTGCCACTCTATGAAACCTCAAAATCAGGATCTCAGGGAGAAAAAATCAGGATTTGGTGAAAAAAATCGGGATCAATAGCAAATCACCAAGATGACTGCCAAAGCCGACTTAAAATTTTTCTAGGGGTGTCCATAAATTACTTGGCCTATATGCACTCCGAGTGTCTTTGTTTGTTTGCGTGCGCGCGCGGCGCACACGTGTGTGTGTGTGTGTGTGTGTGTGCGCACGTGCGAGTTATCATTATTTTTTGAAAATCCTGAAGCTTCACGTCAAGCACTCCTCCAAGTCCAAGTGTTTGTACCCCCCCACACCAATAAGTCCCGAAATACATGAACTTAAGTTGACCCCGTCAACGGACGGTCCACGACATGCAGAACTCGCACGGCGATGTCATGCCACGTGACGCAAATGCGCGATTGAAACTATTTTACTAACGGGTCCGACTAACTGCGCGTTCACACAAAACACTCGGATGAGCGACAGTCGTTCTACTTTTAGTACTCTAGGATAACGACGACGGCCGACTGACCAATTGTACCAACAAATCTCTTATCCCTCATAATGCGTTCAGACTAAAGCAACGACAACGGCCGTATGTTAGTCTTGTCAGCGTAGTTACATGTAGTTGTGTAAGGGTTAGAGAAAGACTATCGCTCGTCCAAGTGTTTAGTGTGAACGCACAGTTACCAGACCTCGGACAAGGATTGTTTTGAAAGTAACAGCGGAACTACGAATATTATCGATTATTTGTATGTTCCAAATTGTAACAGTTACCAGGCTATCATCGGAGAATTCTGAGCGCAGGCAAAGATCACACACAACTTGGGGCGAGTAAATACTAAATGCGGCATCGATATTTCGGGAAATAGTGCTCCGAGTTCCTACAGACAAAAAGTTCAACGGGTGCTTCCCGCGATAAAGGAGAAGGCAGAGCAAGTTTTTAGAAAAATCCGGCATAACAGCAGACTGGGACAAAAAATCGGGATGCACGCGATCGAAATCGGGAAAATCGGGATGCTTGAGATTTGGGGCACAAAATCGGGATATCCCGACTAAATCGGGATATCCCGACTAAATCGGGATATCCCGACTAAATCGGGATGAGTGGCAGGTCTGTCTCAGTGTCACGTACTCGGTAACCGGGCAGTTAAGAATTCCAAGTTCAGTTTATGTCATCCGGTGTGGCCTTCAACTCCAGCCCTCCCCCGACTGTACCTTAAAAAAAAAGTAATCAATAATTCCCCCTTCTGGAGCTCTATACTTAGTAGCGCACAGACTTTGAATGAACTTTGGTGACCCCAACCGTTACTCACAATGTGATGCGAAAGCACAGGTTCACTGACCGGTAACGATGGCGAGCCCGACAAGACGCTTGTATAACTTTCTTTTATTTCAACAAGTGACAGCATAGGACAAATATTGGTTTATTTTCATTCCGGTTACCGTGTACGTAGATACTGAGACTAGGTGCCCGGTTACCGTGTATGTAGACACATGCATCATGCACGAATAATATTCACGAGCGTACACACGCACACACACTCGCGTACACCTCACACTCGCACACACCCACTTTCTTATCACATGAGCACGCTTACACACATTAAAATTAGATAAAGGCCTAGCCAAGAGAAGGCCACCTTCTCGGCCTAGCCTATGTCTCAGTTTGTGTTGTACATGATGCCTTCCGGTTTTATAGCTTTTAGAGTAGGCCTACGTTCAGTAGGCTTGAGCTGGGCCGATACCATGATTTATGTAGGCCTATCGGTTTTGTACTCGCACCATTTCATACTAAAAATTCTGTTAAATTAAAGCGTTGATGTATTTTTGCCTAAAATTTGCAAGAAATTGCGAAAATTGCAAAAAATTACAGGTTTATTGCAGAACTCAACGAAAAACGCGGCCACACTACCGTGATTTCCTGGAGGGCCAGATCAGGCCCAACAGAGGTCAAATACGAAAATCTTTTGTGTCAAGAGATCCTTCCACTGAACTGCCCAAATTTCATCACCATGGAACAGATAAGCCAAGAGACAAGAAAACAAGTTCTAGAAATTTAGAGCTATTAAAATTTCCATCATTTTGTTTTCTTCCTGACAAGCCATGAGAGAGGTTTTTAAGTGAAACGCTAACAACGAATCGTTTGAGTGCATTACAAAAATTCAAGTAAAACAGCAATAGACACTAACTGCCAATCACAGAGTCCCGATTTAGAAGGGCATAGGCTTCAGCCCTATTATGCATCAATTTAAGGACAGATTTTACTTTCATGTTTGGTATTTCTGGCAATCTGGTACGAAAATATCAATTTGAATATCAATTGAATGCAAATCATGCTCAAAGACAAAGGTGCTAAGATGCATGAAAAACTGTATCAAGCATTCCCTGCCTATAATTTTGAAATGAAAAGCTCAGCACTAAAGAGAGTGAGATCTGAAAGTGACCCACCTCTCTTGTTGAAGAATTCTCTAGAATATTTCCCACTTAAAGCTATATGGCGTGGGATTGGCCCAATGAGCTCGATGATGTGGGCTAAATGGTCCTCATCGCGAGTGTAGTCCTCTCCACTGTGCGGTTCAAACAAATAGTCTCCTGTGGCTAATTCAAATGCCTGTAAGAGAAAAAGGTAACAATGTAACAATCTATCAAGCTCATCGTAATTCCTTCTGAATACACCACTTGATACCCAATCAATGATAACTGTCATTCAAGGACAATTGTAATTTCAAAAAGAGCTTACCATATCTCTTTCCCGTTCAATATGCCACTACTTACTCCAAGATAGGTTGGTGTAATGTTAACTCTCTTGGTATAATGATTCAACAAAAGCTTACACCTGCCTCTAACCTGCTCCCTGCAAGCTACTATTTTAAATCACAGAGCCCCATTTAACTTCAGCTTTAGTTTAAAGTTTTCTGGCATTTGCAACACAAATAAATCATTTAAGGGCCGAAGAATAGAGATGTTACTAGAGACAGAGTAACATACAAAGAAAAGGAGGAGAAGAGATAATGACAATAGATGTTAGATAGGAAAGAAGAAGCAAACCACATCAGAGCACCTATCAACCACCCACATTCAACCCTGGCACATGTCAAAGTACTGCAAGTGTGTGTCTGGAACCCATGTGTTGGTGCCTGCGAAAAAAATGCCTCTTAACGATCATTTAAAATGACTGCATCTCAGTTACAGCACAGTATGATAAACATAAAATGCATATAATTATTCAAATTTGGGCTGATCATTAGACATCTAATGTATAGTTATTAGGTCTTCTTGTGAGAAAAAAATGCACACGACATGTTTGCTGAGGCTGTTTGCAGAACAAGTTATTTTGACAGATCCAAGGTTGCTAATGTAGAACTTTGGTTCTTACGCAGAATTTAGTTGATTTTTTAAACAAAAATGGGGATTGCTTCCCTTTTCAGCAAGATTTTATTGAGACCCCTGTCAGCTAAAGGTTCCCCATAATCTGATACTCTCTCTTATTCTATGTCTTAAAATGAACACTCAATTAAAAGCTCACTTTGTGCTTCAAGACTTACCATGCAAGCTGTGCTCCAAATGTCAGCTGGTGTATCATAGCCTGCTCCTATCAATACTTCAAGACATCTGTATTGGCGTGTTTGGATGTCTTCCGTAAATTGGTGATACTAAAAACAACACAAAAATTTAATAGTCAGTAAAACTTTTACAGACAGAACAAGTAAGTACTATTCATATTACTTGAAGCATTTCTTCCAGCATGAATCACCTTGCTGTCCAAAGGATACGTTACATACAAATCAAATACTTGATGGAAATGATTCATGATCCTACTATAAAGGTACCGCTAAATCGACTCATTGATGACCATGGAATCCTGGATCTTTTTCAGAAATCCTGACAATCCCAAATTATATTCAAGACAAGAACAGGTCGGCCATGGCAGCCTTCAGTAGTAGTAGTAGTATGGGGTTTTACGGCACTCGCAACTGCATAAGGTCATATGAGCGCGCGAAACAAGTTGTTTTTTTCCTCAATAGCTCATTGCTCGGCCTGACTCTGGTCAATATTACTAATTTTTAAATTTTTAAACGCTAAATATCTAGTGTAAATAAATTTTAAATTTAAAATAACTTTCTAAATAACACTTAAAAATTTCAAAACCATCTATTTTATAACTTTCCATAAAGGCCAACGGCCTTCATAAAATCTAAAATTCTGTTAGGAACAACGATGGAAAAAACATCTAGTAATTTTTTGCATTTAAAGTATTTCCTTCGGGTCTCTCCAAAGTCTAGACATTCGGTTAAAATGTGTCTGATGGTAAAATCTGTGTCGCATCTGGCAACCTTCAAATAAACATTTCAAATCAGATCAGCACTGGGACACTTGCATTCATAAAGGACAATGTATCATAATACTTGAGGTCTCAATATGATATCAAGTTTGGGGCGATCATCTTTTACAATATAACCAATAAGACAACACATAGTATAATAGTTGTTCAAGGCACTTATGGTTAAAACTATGGTATAATTGAGTGCACAACGTTTTCCAAAGCACAGTACAGAAATTTATAATGCCAATGGAAACAAATCTGACCAAGGAGCAGCAAGCAAACTGGTCGTGGTAAAATAACAGCATCTGAGATTAGATGAAACATACCGTCCAGCAAGCATTGCCCAGGTCAGCAATTTTGACAGGGAATTCATCACAGATCTCATGCACTGGGTCAGGCTTACGAGAAGAATTGGACTGACCTGAAATCCAGAAGGACAAATAAAATTCAAAATTCTAATCTGGTATACAAAAGTTGCATGCATACAGCAAACATGCAAGGCGGCTAGTCAAACAACCCTTTCTCTGAAAACCCATTGAACTCAAGATTTTCAATATCTTAGCCAAAAAATGGTGACAGTAGGTGAGGTTGCCCAGGAATAACTTAATTATTAATTTGCAAGAGGGGTGGGAGGGAAGAAATATTCATTTACATAAACTTGCCTACTCACTGCAACAGATTACATTTTATTCCTGAGTAAGGTAAAACTATTGCTTTTCGTTATTTTTTCTTATTCTCAGAACATATGATGTACAAAGTATTTTGTAATTGTGAACTGATTTCTGATCACTAAAATCCCATGAAAAAATTAACATTATAGCAAAAAGTACAAAATTACGTAGGCACGTTGTAGACATGGCTTTTCACTTTTTCTGAACATATCGTCAACATAACAGCAAGAATCCGTACCCCTTGAGGACAAATCACTAATATATCGGCACAGATAGGGTGTCTCAATTTTGTTTCGTTTCAACATGATCCCAAATTTTTTAGTACTTATTGTTACTAGAAAACTTGGAAAGGATTTAAGAAAAGAATACATCTGGTTTCTCTTTATCAAAGCATTAGTTTGGCGATAAACAATTGAATTAATTCTTGCAGCCTTGCATTAACGCAACGATGTAACCACACTCAGTAGAAATATCACAACTCAAATACTAATTGGAATAATATTGCTTTCAAATAAAAAGCTGTGCATTCCATCACCCATTCTAACCCATCTGTGCTGATATATTAGTGATTTGTCCTCAAGGGGTACGGATTCTTGCTGTTATGTTGACGATATGTTCAGAAAAAGTGAAAAGCCATGTCTACAACGTGCCTACGTAATTTTGTACTTTTTGCTATAATGTTAATTTTTTCAAGGGATTTTAGTTATAAATATTATATTCAAAACATCCTTGTTTCATGTCTCAATGTATTCCTCATTCAATTTCCTTCAGTTTTCGATATATCACATGTTAACTTTTGAGAGATGGCTATGCTTACATGAAGTTACTTTGTCACCTGTATAGCCACATCGAGCCAAAAACTAATTACGTCTAAACATCACACACAAAAAAAAACCTACGTCCAGAAAGAGTAAAATAAAACTCAGAACTTCAAAAAATGAGCATTACAGCCAAGAGTACAATTCAAGCCGATAATGTTATACCAGGGTTTTCCTGTATTTCAAACAAATTTTTGTAACAGGTCAAATGACGTTCGGGTTTTTTAAAGTAGAGGAGGGACATTGCCCTGAGGGGAAAATGAATGGCGGGGGGGACAAATTTTGTGTAATAAAGAAATCTAGATGAAGCAGAAAAATGCAAAAAACTTTACATTCAATATTCACAGATATAATACATTTCAGAACCACCTAATCATATACCCAAAAAACACTAGCATCATGAATAAACCAACATAAAAGCTGCACGTGATAGGGGGGGGGG